GCACCAGGCTGCCACTGGCAGTAGAGATAACTGACTTTGGAAGTTATGACTTTTTTATTTATGTAACAGATGTCAAACAAAGCCTTCTTTTAAATTTGTTTGATTTTTTTTATATTGGCTTTTTCTAATTTGTCTCAGAGTCACTACAGAGATGATATTTTATTTAATGCTACTGCCTATTTTATGTTAAAAATTTAAATATCTAATAAATGGCTCAAGTTTTGTCATAATAACCTACTGTTGTGGACTATTCATCTCGGGAAGTATGTTATTCTCATTTTGAGTAATAGCACTTGATCAAGCCTTTTCTATTATTCCACATTACAACATAAGTACTAAAAAAAGTAAACCTATTGGTCAGAACAGAGAGATAGAAAAATACGTTGGTATCAGATCAGTATCGGACCGGTACTAGGGCTGTGGTATCGGTATCGGATCGAAAGTGAAAAAGTTGGATCGCAGCATCCCTACAGTTAAACATAGCTGTAAATGCACTGTTTGCTCAATTAGGGTTATGGTTAGGGGGTTGGGGGTTGGGGGTTGGGTTAGGGTAAGGGTTAGCTAGCCTACCAAGCTAACAACTAGCCTTTGGGTTAGCTCCACCCTCTCTCATCCAAATATGGTCACCTCTCATCACTTCTGGCTCCAAAAATCCAAGATGGTGGAGTCAAAATGCCAGACTCAACACTTCAAATGCAACTTCATAAACCAATGAGTGACATCACAGTGGCTACTTCCATTTTTTTTAATACTGTCAATGATCGCCACACATAGCTGTCGATCATTACATTACGCCTCATTTTCATAGTATCAAATAGATATTTAAAACCACACTCTTTAGATATTAAACACTTGAACATACATCAGCATAATAAGAACTACCTAAAATAAAAGAATCTTTGGGAAAAATTTATTTGACGTGTACTTTAATTTTTTAGTTTGGCCCATGTCCCATCCACTAACATGGAGGGGGCAGGGTTTATGACCTATACTGCAATCACCCACCAGCAGACGATGAAGATATTTTGGCCTCGCTATTGGGGAGCTGTTATGCCTCATATAATACAGTCAATGCTCTGTACTTTTTCACTCTGTCCCTTTGAATCCCTTCCCTCCCTGCTCACATTTACCAGGAGATGTTGTCAGTATTTCCTTTGGCCTCATAGTGCACAAGTGCGTCATGATTCCCAACCCTGACGCAGCTCCTGTCAGAGCGGCTTTGGTGATTCCCTTGATACAAGGATGATGTCTCCAAAGTGGATGCCACAATTGCCCTGACATGGGACTGGTTGCTGTCCTCTGTTGACTGCACTGACTGACTTATCATGTCTCTGTTAGATGTCTCAATCTGGCATTGATGAGCGATGATGAGTACGGTTATTGTGCTCCAGAGCCCAGTCAACCAGATGCAATAATTCATTTCATGATTTTTTTAATAGCCACATATTTCAGGTCACCAAAATGATAACCTGCTATTTTTCTTTGAAAGCGCATTCAATTTTTGCACCAGTGGTTTTCTGGTGGAAATGACTCATAAATCAGCTCTCACATGGATGTCCATATGGCCCAATATCTCGCTGACTGAATGTGTTAGTCTGTCTGTCTGTTTGGAAAACCCACAGCACTGGTTGGCAGGTCTATCTGTCTCTCTGTCTGTTCTTGGAAGGTCCACCATATTACACTGGTGGGTCTATCTGTAAGCTTGTCTGCTTGGCAGGTCTACTGTATTAGCAGGTGTATCTGGCTGTCTTTCTGTCTGCTTGGCAGGTCCATCATACTGGCTTTGGTTGCTTTGGCTGTCTGTGTTAACTGACATATTGCCTGCAACTTTTTTTGTATTTTTTTGCGAGGAGAATGATAGTTTGGCTCGCAGTCAGGGGATTTGGTTGTTATTTATGTGTGTGTTAGTTCTTCTGTGTGCCTGACAAGATACCAAATGCTCTGTTAGCATGCTAATTGATAAATCAGAGTAATATAAACTGATATCAGAACCATCTGTTGGTTGGTCTGTTCAGGGGTTACTACAAGGAAAAAGTGCTTGAAGAGAACAACAAACTGATATTTTCACCTCCATTCACCTTGGAAAAGGTAATTTGAATTTTGGAGAGCAGAGATAAAGAGAAAAGTGGACAGGCTTCAGAGTAATGCAGCACAGATTTCTTTGGTCGAGGGTGGTAATGTTTTCCTGTTATAGCTGTGGTGATATTGGAGTGGCTGGGCCAGCTAAATGTGCTTTTTCAGGAGGCAAATGGGAACACTACACCCATTTGGGATTTCAGATTGCAGCTCTCCAAAATGTTCCCATTCCATACATTTATATTTCTAAAAGTAGATATACTGGAGCCGGGCATCAAATCTATTTTGAGATTAACTCTCAGGCAAGAGTTCCTTCCTTTGACACAACCAGAGCAAAGAGCATCCTCACATCCTACCTCTGCTATCTGCAGCCCCTCGGGTGGCCTCAAAGTGATTGGAACATTTGACAAGTGCAAGATTGACAGCTATTTCAGAAACAAGACAATTGTAAACTCAGCAAAGTACCATCAAATTGTTCAAATAGATGTCTGACATGAAGGAAGACTAACTGAGCAATACAGGAAACTATTCACAGACCTCAAGAGAAGCCTCCAGCCTGCCCATTACAGATATGCCGTGCATTTCCATGGAGGGTTCAAGCGTCAGAGTGAAAAATTCACTTTCAAAGGCCATTCTAACCCATCAAGAAAACTTCTAAGGAGAAAAACACTGACTGGCAAATCCTGCTGCGGCTCAAAACCTGTTGCAGTAGCAGCTTCATTTTCAGGCCCGGTAATCCTTTTCCTGTGACTGACCCCACGGGATGGAACTAAAGCCTGAGTACATCACTGTAAGCAAGATTGACAGTAGCCCTATGTCCTCTATCATAACCTATATAAATCAAGTGCTCGTTTCTTCCTTATGTATAATTTTTATACTGACTGTCTGTTGGACGGTCCACCACTTTGATTGAGACAGAATTATCTGAACAGCTATTGGATGGATTGTTGTGTGATTTGGTGCAGATATCAGTGCTGCCCAGATGAAGGTTTTCTGATGATTTCTGTAATCCTCTGATTTTTACTTTAGTGCACCCAGCAGGTCAATGCTTTGATTTCTTCTAAGAAATATTGCTCCAGTTACTTGACAGGTTTCTGTAAAAAAATGTGTCCTCAATAATCTGCAATTTTTTCCCTGAGGTACACATTTAGGGGTTGGATAGAAATGGATTGCCATGAAATTTGGTACACAATGTCATGTTCCCATCGGGAGTTTATGTTCGCACCTCGGTGAAAATGTAGTCCCACTGCAGCTTTTCAGTCATTTACGCCCATCCCTACAACACATTGTTATGGATCCCACTGTATGCTGTGATTGGCTAGTACTCGTGACGTTGATGTATCGAGGTCAGAGGCTGTTAGGGTTCGGGCAAAGTTGTTATTGTTAGGGCTAGCACAAATCAATCTCGGATATTCTCTGAGATTATAGTGGAAAACAAAACCTCACAAATGTACTGATTGAAAGTCAGGTGATGTAGTAGAAAAAGAGACACAGTCCAAAGAGGGAGCAAGATATGGTCAATGAATGGATTAAGCATACGACTTTCACACAGGACTGAGGTTTGAATCCCATGTGAGCAAAGTGTTTTGACTTGCTTGACTTATTTTCAGTTTTAGGATGTATTAAGCTGCTGAGTGCACACTGTGTACATAAACATTAGCAGAATAGCTAAATAGATGCGTTTGTTGTAATGTCATATTTCAATGTCGCCAGGGCGCCCAGGAATACGTGCCTTGTCCTACTCTGAAGTTGTTGAAATCCAGCGCTCGGGCAGTGACTTGTGTTGTCAGAACCCAAGGAAAAACATCCTTTAACATTGGCATGATGCGCGGCCGGTTGCTGTTATACTTTAGCCCAGTGGCACCAGGGGGAAACGCGGTGGGACAAGGACGAAAGTTAAGGCTGTGAAAGTCATTGTTGGTTGGGATGGGTCTAACAAACAATGACTTTCATCTGAGGGAGCGGTGTTCACATCCCATAAGATTCTAAAGCCAAACCCTGTCCTTTTTCCCTAAACCCAACCACGTGCCTTTGTTGTCGAAGGCAAAAAAAATTCATGGTGTTGTACTGACTTAGTGTGTTTATTTTGAAAGAAACTGTATGTAAATGTTACACTTCCGTTTTCACAGGAAATTTATTTTGACAGAATACAATGCATGTTACTGGCAGAACATGACACAGCATCCCAGAACGTCAACAACCAACACACCCAGGGTACCTTGCACGTCGTATGTGCATGTGGAAAGTCCATGACCAAACATCAATATGTGACGAGGTCGGAGTGAGAATGCTTGGGGAATACATAAATCCGTGTGCCACATTGGCTATTTACACCCACAGGTGCAAATAGCATTGTTGGCTACGGACACCATGGGTACTAATAGCATCTGCCATTGTAATAACTTTGGTAATCCACTGAATTTGTGTAGTTCATCATCACGTCAAGATTTTAATTTGTGGCGTGACCTCTAGCTCTCCTGGTAGACTGTGTCCCCCATATAGGCTGAGTCCTTTGCAGCGGCCCAGGTTCGACACCAACCTGCGGCACTTTGTTGCATGTCATCCCCTATCCCCCCTAACTTTCCTGTCCATCTTCAGCTGAACAATGAATTAAAGGCAAAATGCCCAAAAAATTATCTTTAGAATTTTTTTTTAATTTGTCCAGCTTTTGGGTTATAACTCAATACTTACAAAACTAATGACATTCAGCTGTACTTTGTGTATAATGCTAATTAGCAAATGTTAGCATGCTAATACATTAAACTCAACTCTGATGGTTAACACAGTAGACTTTTAATGTTGTTACTGTATATTAAGTCTTGCTAGATTGTACATGTTATAGTATGAACATGTTGACTAATGATAGTAATAATAGCAGAAATGTCCAAATTGCAAATTTTCATCTTTATTTTTTTGTCTTGCAGTCTAAATATGAAGCTTCATCCCAGCAGGCCACGGGACTCTCCCTTCGATTTCGATTGCTAGAGGAGAGAAACCGAGCTCTGAAGCTTGAAGTCGCCACGCTTCGCCAAGATAAGCAGCAGTGCAGGAAACTGGTAAACCTTCCTCTTCCACCACTCCACTTCTGTCTCTTTTTTTTCCTTACACACACACACACACACACACACACACACACACAATCTGTCTTTCCAGGCCAATCGGAACTGTTCACACTCATTATTTTAGATGACAGGTTTTTTTTGCCTGCAAATGAACACAATAAACATATTTACTGATAGCTGTCCTCTGGAATTGAAACTAAGATGTGATTATCATGGCACATAATGTATGTATGTAGAGAGTGTCAGTGAGTTGCTATATTCAAGTCCCTGTTGCAGCTTTTATTCTTCAAGGACGCAGCTGTGTATAGCAGAGTGACTTGCATGGCCCTGTGCACATATACTCCCTCTGATTGGTCTAAGTTACGCAGACATGGGCATGTGTAATTTGCTGTAAAATAGATAGGGAGGGGCATAGGGTTTGGTGTGTATTGTACATGAGTGTGTGTATGTGTGTTTGTGTTTGCATTGTATGTTGGTGCATGCATTTGTGTATTTAGTCCTTTGGAGGCCTCCCCCAGGTGGTCTCGGATGGCAAGGTGTGTGAGCCGTTGTCTTGGCAACATGCCCGTTTGCAGGAGTGTGGACAGACTGGCAGAGAGGAACTGACATAACATAATGGCTGCTTCAGTTATAAGCCTCAATGGCTTGAAATTAGTTTCGGTAAAATAGAGCGAAACCCGCACACCACAGCCTGCATTTACAAACGGTTTATTGACTGTGTTTCAGCTCAGTGTAGCTCTCAGGCTAAAATACTTAGTCACACCACTAATAGTCACACCACTCATTTGGTTTGTGATTGAGTACACTGTCGCCTTCCCCTCACTGATGTGGTATAGAAGCATAATTGAGTTTGCGTCATAGACTGTATAGAAACAATGGTGGTAGCCACTGTGACATCAGCCATTGGTTTGTGGACTCACTTTTTGAAGCCTTGAGTTTGGCATTTTGCTGTTGCCATCTTGGATTTTTGGAGCTGGAGGTGGCCGTATGTGGATGAGTGGGTCGGGCTGTGGAGGACAGACAGCCTGTGGAGCTGTGGAGTGCAGACAGCCTGTAACTCAAAGTGGCCACATCCTTTATCATGCTTAACTTTAAGCCTTAATAAAATGTAAATGGATGAGTTATATAAAAATGTACTCCCCTTTCAGTTTACTGGTCGATCTATCCCAGCCCTCACCTATGGTCATGATCTCTGGGTAGTGACTGAAAGAATGAGATCGCGGATACAAGTGGCCGAAATGAGTTTCCTCCTTGGGGTGGCTGGTCTTAGAGATAGGGTGAGGAGCTTGGACATCCCGAAGGAGCTCGGAGTAGAGCCTCTGCTCCTTCGCCTCGGAAGGAGTCAGTTGAGGTGGTTCGGGCATCTGATTAGAATGCCTCCTGGGTGCCTCCTGTTGGAGGTGTTCGGGGTACATCCCACTGGTAGGAGGCCCCGGGGCAGACCCAGAACACGCTGGAGAGATTACATATCTCATCTGGCCTGGGAACACCTTGGGGTCCCCCAGGAGGAGCTGGAAAGCGTTGCTGGGGAGAGCGACGTCTGGAATGCTTTGCTTGGCCTGCTGCCCCTGGATAAGCAGATAAGATAATTAGCTACTGTAATGTCAGGCATTTTAACATGGGGGTCTATAGGGATTGACTGGCTTCTGGAGCCAGCTTCAAGTGGCTATTTGAGGAACTGCAGTTTTTGCCTCTTCCTGTTTCATCCCTGTAGGTCGCCACTTGGTTAATATTTGAAAAACTAAACCAGGTGTAGACCAGAACCAAAATGATTTGTGACATTCTCCCATATGTTGCCTCTGTATTTAAAAACAAGATACAATACTAATGAAGAATTAGGGAAGAACTATTATTTCATGACTCGTTTATGGTTTTCAGCAGGTTCCTGTTATGCAACAAAATCACATTGCAATAGAAAATAAAGACAGAAACAATCAATAGAGGCAAAACAACAAAACGTAGGCAGCTACATAGACAATGCAGAGTAGTGGCCTGATTCCAGTGAGCAAAAGGGGATATGGGATTTAAATTAGTGGTTGCAGGTCTGTCCTTCCATCACTAGTGTTTATATGCATGTTTGAAACGTGTGATAGAGGTTATTGCTCTAATGTAGTATGGGATCCTGTTCCAGATCTTAGTTTAAGCATGACAAAATGATCTCTGACCATAATTTATAATTTATAATTTATAATTTAATTTATCTAGTGATGACTCTGAAGTAGAGCGGTGAGTGTAGGATTGGAGTTGTGGTTTAGGATCTGACAATAAGATTTAATGGCTTGATTATTTATGTAGCTTCGAAAGTCAGGGCGTTAGTATGTGAGAGTGCGATGCAGTGATGAGTCCAAAGGAGGAGGTTATGGTCATGGATCTTGTAAGCTCTGTTGTATAGTTTGCTGTTGGTTCAATGCTTTTCTTTGTGGTGAGGGACCAAACTGGGAGACAGCAGGATATTATTGAGAGAAGAACTGCACGTAGATATTTGTCTGAAACAGCAGGGGTGAGATATGGTTTTATCTTCTTATAGACATACAGTTTCTGGTTGAGCTTCTTTGTTAGGTTCTAAATGTGGTGCAGATAAGTGAGATGCGAGTCAAGGAATACTCCAAGATATTTGTAGGTTTATTTGATGTTTAGTGTTTGCAAAATGTATAGGGTCAGACATAGATATGGGTTTTTTAGGGGAATGAAAATACATACATTCTGTTTTCTTGACATTAATAGATGATTATATTTCAACCAGTCATGTAATTGGTTAAGATAAGAGGATAGTTTTGAATTTAAGACAGTATTAAGGCAGTGAAACCTACCCAGGAACAGCTGGTCACTCTCCCTTCATTGTATGAGCTGATAAACCACTTATAATTGCATATTTACCATTGTTCCCTCTTCCTCTTCCACCTTTTTGTTCAAACAGCAAAATTCATGTCAACCTGCCCAGTGGGAGATTTGTATCCATCTTCATAGCCAAATCCTTGGCACAAACCATGTCTGTCACCGTAGCTAACGCGCAGTAGTCAGCAACATAACGCTATAATATTATGTAATTATGTATGCGTGTGCGTGTTCATGTGTTTTTCATATATGGCCAGACACTGTTGGAGGAAGTCCAGCTGGATGCCTGGCAGTCTTTTTGCTGTCACTGCTGACAGCTACACTATCACAGACTGCATCATGGTCATTCATGCAGAGACAGACTCAGCCATGGATCAGTTAGACTCAGAGAAGCTCAGTCATGAGAGTGGGTTTGTTCATGCAGATACACTGTACTGTGGGCTTACACTTACTGAGCGTATTGGAAGAATAGAAAAGACGTATCACATCCATCAATTTTGACTTAAATGCTGTATGAATTTTCTTTCTCTCCATTTTTTTATTTGGTGAAGGAAATATGGCCAAAATAATCTAAATTTATAAAAGGTTTTGATGATTATTAAATTCACAGTCAGGCTAAATCTAAAAGGTGTTGGTCAGAAGATGCCTTGTAGCAGATTCAGACAAAACACTCATTAGATTAAAGATATAAGATTAAGAGATGTGCGAGTACATAACACACACACACACACACACACACCAGATGGCTGATTAGCCCGTTAGTTAGTTATGGCTTTAAATGGATGCCTTTAAGGCTCTTTAAAGCTAAAGTTGGTAATCTACATGAAAATATTTTTCTGTCATATTTGCTAAAACTGTCACTATATCCACACAGTATGACACAAGAAGGATCATCTGTGAAAAAAATCATGTTCCCCCACCCTCCTTGTGCCTCTCACGGTATCTGCTGCAGTCTACCGCGGCTGAAGTAAAGCAAGAAATCAGAGCCGAGATGTCTCTAACTCAGTCGTTAATCATGTCAATCACTGCTCGTGAACTGTAGTCAAACTGTCAAACTAGGCAGCGTTGATGTGAATCAAGATTCTGTTACTACGTTGTCTATTCCTTGTCTCAAATATTTTCAGCAACATATGTTAGTGTATTGTTTGGCTGTAAAATGAGAACGTTTGCTGTGGTTGCTTTGTTTTGGCTCAACTTGGCTGGGTCACAAACTTTGTCATTTTAAAGCCAAACAGTACACTAGAATATGTTTCTGAAAACATTTGAGGTGAGAAAAAGGCAGTGCAGTAGCGGAATCTTGATCCATATTTGATGAGCGCTGTCAAGTTGACATTTTGACCGCAATTCATGAGCAGTAGTTGACATGATTGACAGCTGCCTTAAGCCCCATGTCCACCAAATACTTTGAGTATGGTACCTTTGGAACCAAAAGTAACCCTTCAGACATGGTACCTAGACCCTAGTGTTTCACAAACAGAACCCTTAAATGTGGGCGGGGTTGTTGTCACTCACTGCTCCGTCTAGCACTCACTATATTTCCTCATTACTGGTAACACAGATGGAAGTCTGCACCTCGTTTATCGTCCACAAACAAGGCTGCACACCAACATTTTCTCTCCATGGGATATTTAAAAATAGTGGGCTTGTGCATTTAGTTCTTCTCAGGCAAGCTCAGGGGGTTTAGTGTTGCCAGAGCCCACAGGAACGACCCTCAGCAATGCCTTTTTTTTTTCCTCCGAGTGAGGATTAGAATTTATGCAGCTCACATAACCTGGTTGAAATTAATATATATAAATGCTTGAAGATCCACTCATTACTGAAAGTGCGTGTCATATAAAAACTAAAGTAATGGTCAAAGTTGTCACTGAAATTTAAGGCTTGTTGATGGATTCATGTCATCAACTCATGCAATGAGTAACATTACAAGTTAACGTTCCACCTTAAAAGTCACCAACAGTCGGCCCAGTGAATTAAGTTATTTTTTTGTCTCCGACTCCAGCTGCTGCAAGTAGCAGCAAAATATCCTTTGTTTTTATAGTTACAGTTTACTAATAAAACTCTCCACGGTATGAACAGTGGTTACATGAAACCAGCCACAACTCAGCCCTGAGCAGAGTGACTGTCCTCTATTGACCAATTAGACTGCAGTGTTCACAGCT